ACCCAGGGTGAGTTGGTTTTCCAGCTGCTCCTTATGGAACTTAGTAACTATTTCCCATTAGAAGTTGTGCTTTGAGACAAGTGTGAAACCAGCTCCATTTTTTTTTTCCTATATCCTTGCTCTTTAGAAACTACTATTTATTTTTTTTTTCCAAAGTTAGTTTTTGTCACATGAGATCATAGAGAATAGCTGGTGGGAAGTCAAGCACTCCTGTCAGTTCTTTTTCTCTCTGTGTCTTTTACAGAATTCATCATGCTTTCTTAGATGGGACTAAATAGAATTGGTTCAGTTAGTGTTTCCGTAGTAATACAATTATAGTGATTATTATTAGGAATTATTATTACTTCTGATGGAGGTTCTTCTTTACAAAGATGCTGCTCAGAATTGGTCTTCCCACCTGCCTCTGAAGCGTCAGAGGACACTGAGACACTAACAGATCCCTTGAATAACATATCTCCCTTTAAATGGGTGGTTAAAATAATTTTTGAAATTGCTTCATTGATGGTGAAAATAATTTTTGAAATTGCTTCATTCAGGTTAAAGGTTTCTGAAACTGATAAATGTCGTATAAATGGAGCTTCATGAGGTATACATGAAGAAGTGGTTGTCCATCTTAAAGATGGAACCTGATAGTTGAAACTTAGCAGCTCTCTCATTACTCCTGTTGCTAGTTGAATAAAATTTCGGCTGAACTATGTTGACCATACGCTCAGAAGATCAGCATCTGCAGGAACATATGCATGTGTAACAGCCCTAAAACGTCTTCATATTTTGTTCTTACCTTGGTGGAATCACACCAAAATGGCTGCAGTACGTTTCTTTAATATACTGTGAATATCTGGTGTAAAATTGTTTTTGCTTTGCTTTTTATATAGCCCATTACTCCACCTACTGTGCGAAAGTTTCGAAATACAACAAATCCAGCTCCTGGTGTTGAAAGAATATTCTACGGCAGAGCAGATGATCCTGACATTGCATCTCACTTGACACATGGCATAGAGTCACCTCCTTCACACAGTGTAAGAATGTGACTTGTTTTCTTTTGTTTAAGAATGGACTGCTTAGGAATGCCCTTAATAAGAGCAACTGATTTCTTCATAGTCAGGGATAAAGGTACATAGCTGAGTGATTTACACTGCAGCGTTTCACTGCTATTGTGGATTATCTGAATTCTGAGGTCAATTAATAGGGTTTAATTAGCATGATTGAAATAGGAAAACACTTCAAGTTCAGTCACTTCTACCAGTGACAACTTTGCAATGACTACTGAATTATTCATGTAATTTCAACATTTAAGCTAATGAACAGTCTTCTACCCACAAATTTTGCTGCTTTCTTCTTTACTGATTGCAGAGGTAAACCCTGTTGAACTCGTGGCAAGAGAACTGCTGAGAACGTGCTTATGGTTCAGTGTAATTATTACGTATTCTTTCTTATGTTTGGGTTGAAACTGATTTTGTTAGCTAAAAGTGATGTTTTGGAAATGTCAGACCATTTTGTATGTATTCTTCAGAAGTTATTTTTGTAATCTGTAATCAACTGAAGAAATCATTGGTGATTTTTATCACATAATTATTGTTAAAACCCATGAAAATAACAGTTGTGTTAGTAAAATACACTGTTATGATACATTTCATTACCTGGGCTTGTAAATGAATTGTTTTCAATTTTACAAATGAAGAAGTTTAGACAAAGAGGAGTTCCAAGTCTCAAAAAGAAGTCTTCAGGTTGAAACACGTAAGTCCTGATACCAGAGGATGTTGAGTAGGACATTTATTAGGCATATCCAAGATGAATAAAAATCTAGAAGGTGTCCCTTCTCAGAAGCTTTACATTGAATGGATTAATTTGTTTAGCTTGTACTGTCTATTGAAGACCCTTTCACTTTGTATTATTAATTAGATATTAACTGGAGGAAGAGTTGGAATCTTAATGAGTTCACTAAGTGCGGGTTTGAATCGTTTGTATTTTCTACTACTTTTTTCAATATTTCTTTATATAACGTTCAACAAGAATCTAATAATAAACCCTCTCTAGGATCCCCATTACTTTGATGGGTAGCCTGAAAAATCAAATGATTGGGGAAGATCAAAATACCCTGTTTTGACATTTGATTTTTTTTTTTTTTTGAGATTCCCTCCACACCATTAAGTTGACCTTATTTTACAAATAACTTCTATTGACCCAGGCCCAGTGTGTACACTGGGAGAAAAAATTTTGCCCAAGCGAGTGCTAAGCTTTGAAAATCCTGCCGAAGTGGTTTCTGTTGGTGTATTGTTTTAGGATGCGGTATTAAGTGTGTATCTTGATATATCGTCTTTAAATTCTGCATCAGCAGAATTGGGAGTAGCTGTTTAGAGGATAGTCTTCACCAGTAGACAATAGATGTTTTTAATTGTAAGCAGCAGGTGACTTTGTTCCAAAGATGTTATTATTTGTTTTCATACTTAAGTTTTGGTCATTACTATAATTTGACTATAGTTTATAATGTACACTAAGAAAAGAAAAGCTGCAGTCTGAAATTTTATAAATCAGCACGTGGAAAAACTCACATAAAAATAAAAAGTTCTGTCTCACAATATGTATGTTATTTAGCTGGAGATTTAGCACAGCACTGATTATTAGTGGTCTTCTTTCAAAATGCAGTTTTGTTTTACAACTTGGTAGATAAAATAATGTCACTGTAATCATGTAAGATTTTATTAGGACACTTATGATCAAACTTTTGTTTGTGTGTGTATGAGGGGGTAGCCGTGTTCATGTGTGATCGATTGAATTTTGCTGGTTTTCCTGTTTCTTGTGTTGTTCATAATGTCTTTAGGTAGCATCATTGATAAATCCACTTCCTAAAACCAGTTTTCAACAAAAAATGCAAGACAAAATAGAAGCAATCTACTTACGTAATCGTCGAGCACCCTTGGGCAGATCACATGATGCTATGTTACCTAAGGACTTGGATATACTTAATACTACATTTGGAATAAATGCCATCCAAGGTAGGAAAATTCAGTGTTAAAACATTTTTCTTCTAAATGCAAGATAATCTGCAATTTAGTATCTAGCATGTATTCCATGCTTCCTGCAATTCCAGCTTAATAGGAAAGGTTTTTTTATAGCAGTTATTGAAAGGCATAAAAATGTACTAGTATTTTTCAGCTGTAATGAAGAAACAAGCAACTGAGAACATTTGGTAGCTAGTAGGGCTTTTGGCTGTGTTCCAGATCTGTCTTTGGAGATTTCCTTGGGGAACTGTTTAAGTAGCTGACAACTTACCTTCCCAACTATTCTAATAGGGCTAATAAGAGATATTACCTTGACCTGTGAATCTTTCTTCCATAGATGAGAGCAAATGTTGACCATGTAGCTCTCTTGCAACAGTTAATGTTCATCTCAGTTTCTGTGATTTTTACTTTTTTCCCTAGTCCTGTGTAAGATTCCTATAGATTGACTAGAAATGTGGTAAGAAGTATCATTTTTCCACAGTATTAGCATATTCCTTAGCAATGTACTGTTTAAGAATAAACCAGACAAACCACCCATCTCTCTTACCTTCCCCAAACGTATATTTATTCCTTACTTTCCAGATGTATCAGGTGGAGAGCTTATAAATCCACCAAAAACTTTTGAGGAAGTGGATAAAGAAGCCAGAGAAGGACATGATCTGTACATTGTGTCACACAAAGATTATTATGTGGGTAAGTTCAAAAGCTGATAAAAAGTTCTAATATAAATAAAGGTAATTTTTCCTCTTTGTATGTTCAACACTTACTGTAAGGTATTTTTTGAGATATAAGCTATTACTTCTTAGTACTGTATTAATATAATATTAATTCTTTTTTAAAGTAATGATGTGAAGAAAGTACTTACATGCAACTGAGGGAGCATGACCTGTTTCTATAAATGTAGATCGCTTTGTGGTGAGTGCATTAACAGTATAGGAATGTAATGAATGAGTTGGAAGCCTGATTTCTTTTAGGTGCTATTTGAAAAACAAAGTATTTCCAGGAAACTAGAAACTCATAGATGCCCTGGTTGCTTATTGAGTTTGACATTGTCTGTGCCATTGAGAGCAATCTCAAATTAAAGCCACAACCCGTTCCAGTACTTTCACCTCTGGTTCCTCTCTTGTCAGGATCCAAACAGAATTTCAGGGCAGCTAGACCTTTCGATGGAGAGCTCAGCATCACTCTCTGGTTACCAGGAATTTCAGGCTGCCGACTGGCTCTCTGGAATGCAGGTTCCGCAGCCTACAGCACCTTCCTGTGAGTCTGTCCCATGGCTTCTCTCTCTGCCCTTCGAGTGGGCTGTGCATCCGCTGCTTCAGCCTCTGGGGGCTGTACCTGTGTGAAGTGGTCTGCTCAGGGATGGTTACCCTTTATCTCACAGGTCTGCACAGGATCAGAGTGACAAACAGCAATCTGACGTCTAGTATGTTTATTACTTTTGCATCCACTTCTATTTTTCCCAGTTTCATCATTTCCACTTAGGCTGAGAAACTTACATTGCTGCTCTCAAAGATTAGTGTTACAATAAAATTGTCCATTGCACTGGTACCAGCAGTTTTGTAGGTATAGCCCAAACATGTAAGAAATTGCAGTACAGGTATTTCAGTTGTAGTAATGTATATTTGATATGGAGGCAGTTATGTAGAAGTGAAATTACAGTACTGTGTTCTCTCACTGAGAGATCCTTCTACAAGTACTATTTTTATAAACTGGCAAAACTTGTAATTTCATTTCTCCTATTTCCCACATTTCTTAGGTGTTTTAGTGGAATTGTTCATTATCTGTATCTGTCTCCTTTGTAACTTCCATCCACAAAATCATGGAGAGGCCAAGACAAAACCAGGCAGACATCAGGGAAAAAAAAGTCACTATGTGCTCCAGTTTTGAACAATTACAGAAATTCCAAGCTGCCCTAGAGCCAGAGGATGCCTTTATTAGAAAGCATGCAGTGAATAATACTTTTTGAAAGTTCTAATTGCCATTCTTTTCAAAAGGTGATTGAAAAGAGATCGAAGAAATAAAATGATATTTTTTTCTGTGACAGGAAACGTGTTTGCAGCTTACTTTCATAGAGTACTTATGTGATATTCTTGGATGTGAAATTTCCTTTTATAGGCAAGACTGGATTAATAGATTCGTGAACAAGGAGGTAGTATCTTGTTTACAGTGAAGTCAGTGGCAAAATTTCCATTGAAGTCAACGTAGCAAGAGTATATCTGAAAATGCAACAGCTCAAAACCACTTTGTTTCCTTTTAGCGTATTTTTTTTTCTTAACAAATAGTAAATTAAATAGTACATGTCTCGGCTCAGCTATGGACATTATCAGGTGGTTTGTTTGCATGACCCTTACTACTTAGGCTACCTGGTATTTTTTCATTAGTTCTATAGAGCTTGCTTTCATTGAGACATAAAAGTACATCCAACTATTTTACCACTGAAGCAGTTTTTGCTTTTTATTTTGCTTTTTATCTTCACTTTTAACAATAAGATTATTCATAACTACTTAATAAACATGAGGAATGCAAATTACTTATCTTTAATTGAACAGAATTGGTAATTAGTTATTTGCTTCTATTTCTTTATTGTTTTGTCTTAAGAACGAAGAGACTTAGTACATTTTTCTTCCCTATAATACAGGTTGAAATGCTTTCTTTTCCACAGGGGAAGCAATAAATAGGAAGTATGACTCTCAAAATTTCAGCAAGTCTTTTGTTTATGGAATAAAAACCCCTCACTTTAAAGATGGGCGATACGTATCCAAATCCTTAAATTGGCACTCTGCTCCAGAACTGTAAGTTGCAAAGTGTTAACTAGTTAAATAGTGGTGTGAGTTCTCAAGAAGAGTGAGTTTTCATGTTTGAAGATAACTTTACATCTCAGAATCCTGTTCATAGCTATATTAAACCAAATAGAAATTGCAAGGAATAATTTTCAGAATAGTTTGTCCAAATCAGTTCTACCATAGTATTACACTTTATGTCTTTAGCATTACATAGACACTTTTGATTTTAAATGGGAAGATTTTTCAATTACTAGATTTGTGTTTGTCTTGCAGAGGTGATGCTGTTTACTTCTAACATATAAATTTTAATATTTGTTGAGTATTGTTAAATAAATGTGTCAGAGTTATTGTCATAATTTGTAGGAAGACAGCAGAAAAAATCGTATCAAAACAAAGATTTCAAGGAAAAAATTTCAACTTCAGCTTGGAAAAGCCTGTATGTAAGCAAAACCAAGAACAAAATTCACTCATTTTTGCCAAGTCTCCAGTATGTCTTTCTGTCTTGGTTAAAAATGATGATTCTGCAATCAGTACTTCCATTGCACCACTCAATTACAAGAAGGGGCTTTCTGCTTGCCCTTATTAGGCTGATAAGTACACAAGTTACTAATGAGGGCTGTACTGTGTCTATGCGGTGAAGTCTTACTGTTGAAATGGTCTGTATCTGAACTGATCAAATTTACGTATAGTAAATTACAGGCACACTCTTAACACTTTATTTCCCCTGTCTTTTGTAGTCAGGAAGGTTTGAAAGAACTGAAATGTTTCACCTACTTTAGGATTTGACCATTTTGCTTACTCTGACACTACTTTTGGTCATCTTTGTTACATCACCTGTATTCTTACTTTATTACTTCCTTGGAAAAGGACATGGAACTAAGTTGTGTTGTTGTCTAGCATCATGTCTCAATCTAAGTTGAATCATTGCAATGCCTCATAAACCTCAGGTGGTCAGGAACAGCTTTTTAGTTTTGCAGAACAGTGCTTATGAAAGGCTACAGTAGTCCTAAGGTACTGTGTGGTCAGGATCCAGCTGTGCCACAAATCTAGGGTTCCTGAACCTGTAAAAGAACTGTCTTTTCAGATGCTCTAGATTTCTGCAAAATCATACCTGAAGACTCACGAACAACATTACTGACTTTGTAGCAAAATTTAATTTTAAGCTCAAGTTCACAGGCTTATGTGACTCTGGAGGACATGCCCATAGTACCTGGTAAGGAGTGAACACAGATATGAGCCAGTTTCTCCTCTCCTCTTCACTGTGTCCCAGCATGCTGTGAAGTAGACCTGGAGTGTGAGCAACATGAGGCAATATGGTCAGTCAATCAGAGAATATAGGTTGCAGTGCAAGCTCTAACCCAGCACTAATACGACAAGACAAGTACAAACTTAACATATTTTTATTTAGAGACTTTTCCACCATGCACATCCTGTGTGTAACATGAAAATGAGAAAAGAAAAACACACAGTAGTTTTTAAATTACTGTGCTTCCATCTCTATGTGGTTGTGTTTCTTTTTGTGTTTGTTTGGTTTATATTTTAGAGCAAAGTACTGATTCTGTTTTCAGATTTGATGGAAATTGGATTCATGTGACAGTTTTAATTATTAAACATGGAGATAAAATGAACATTGCATCTTTTTCAAATTAATGGACAAACAGGTCTTTAACATCATCAACAACATCTTAATTTTCTGGTAAATAAAACTGGGCCAAGTTTTCCAGATGGATATTGGCTTGGTTTCTGGTTTTGGTAGACACAAAATTGCATGTGAAAAAGGAGAGATGTGATTCCACTTTAGTCAAAAGTAGTTTATTTGGAGACATTATTTCAGTGGGAGATCTGTTTTGTCCTAAACATTCCTGTTATTTTACGAGTATGTTACAAGGACTTTTCTCACTCATTTCTATCATCTTAGGGGGAAAAAAACCCAAAAAGCATAGAATGTTTTTCCTTTTAATGAGTATAAATCTTCAAAATGTTAATGTTTACATTTGGTTCTGTTATATTACAGACAGCAAATGTTCCAAACAGGTTCATAAAGGGATGCTTTTCTGGAATAGCAACTTCAAAGAAAGTACTGATAAACAAATTTCAGGTGAACTATGTGTATCATCCCTTATTATATAACAGATGATCCAATTTTTTTAATAATAGCACAGGGTTTATTTTGGCTACTTAACTATTTGAAAATAACAAAGAAATGTGCTTATTGACAGTATAGCAGAAACTAAGACTGTTCCCCCAGACCGGACATTTGGAATGTCACTCTGTCCATATAAATATGGTAAGTTCAGGGGCAGAATAAAATCTTACCATGTTGAAACTATGCTGAATTAATTACTGTTGGTTTTATAGTATATAGTTTTCCTAAAATCTTGGAGGCAAGGTACGGAAATTTAAAAGTGATAGTAAAGTTTTGGAGGGAAAATTTGAGATGAAGTGAAATTACTAGTGAGAAAAAAATGAATGTCAGAAATAGAGAAACAGTAGAAAACTCATATTGACATCTAAGTGACAAAGTTAAAATGGTTATTTAAATAGTGATGTGTCTTTCTTCTCAATTATTTTTCTATGATTTCTGTAAAAAGCATAAAAATAATTAGCAGTAAATAAGAATATGTTTTTGAAGGTAGCAGAGAGACAGAAAATGGAAATGAAAATAAAAAAATACTATCATTCTGACAAAATTTTGAAAGTCAACTTAGATAGTCAATATTGGGATTGATGGTGTTTTAACATTATGTTTTACAACTAGGGAACACAGCAAACAGCAAAAAAGGTAAGTGGCTCCAAGCTATTAAATAAGTCAAGACCAGAGAAGACTTGTTCAAATTCTGCGTAAGAATTTATGCACGCTTTACCATGTAGTATAATAAAGTTAAATATTTTAAATATGTAGGTATGCTTGTCCTATGAAGAACAGCAGAAGAAAATGAACAAAAAAATTCATCATTAACAAATAGAAAATGTATGTACATTTCTGTTAGAAGGGGATTAGGTGAGCTACTCATATTTGTTACTGTACTCTGAACGAAATTCAACTCCAGAAAGTGACCTTGGTGCTTGGGGACTTGGAGGAGGACTATAGCTCAGTGTGCTAAAGTGTTTAAAAACACTAATAGACTTAGGATATGTAGAAAGTAGGAAAAGTAACACAAAAATAGTAGATTGTTTTTCTAGAAATCAATGGTATATAGTTATCTGAAATATTACATCGACTCTCACATTGGTTCTGGTTAGAACTGATACAACAGACTGTACATGATAGATTGATAACAGATGTTCTTTTGTTCTCAACTTTTTGGACATTGAGTAACCCTTACTGCTGTCAGAAGCTTTTGGACTCAGTGGATGGATTTGTGAAGCTATATTAAGATATTTCAAAAGCTTTGATATTTACTGCATATGGGTAGAGAAATCATCATATGGACTGTTTGATCTTTTAATGAAATGTATCAGATGTTTAGCAGTGCTTAAAATCAGCATCTTGAAAATGAAATTTTCCTTTTGTAAAGTGTCCGTTTTCTGTATATGCACAACTAATTGAGGAAGTATTCATTTTTATAGGAGTTGCTGATCTTCTTCACCATGGAGTTCCATGTGAGATCCTCCATGGTAAAGACAGAGGGAGAACCCTTTTGACTGAAGTTCGGCAGAGTTTGAAGAAAGCTAACTATGAGAATTTTGACATGCTACTAGAAGCATTCAGGCATTATGATAAGGTTAGTGCTTTGAAGAAGTATAAATGTGAAGGAATGCGTGACACAGTGCTCCGTGCTCTGGAGATACAGACATGAAGAAACACAAGCATAACAAGGCAAGTATAGATGAAGACTATAAAGACAAGGTAGCTTAATAGTTACCCTATGTTCAATATCTACTGTGATATGCTATGGAATTAAGCACAACATTGTTTGCAGCCTTCCAGGTGTATCCAAGTTAACAGCAAGCAATGGGCATGTAAGCAGGAATAATCTTAGCAGTTTTTGCTCTTCAAAATTTCTTCTTAAAAGAAAAAGAGTTGAAGGGATTATGTTCAAATTTTCTTCCAAGCTATATTTTTTGACTGAGTCTCCAAGCAGAAGAATTTCAGATCTTTTCTGTCTGGAAGAAAATGTATAATTGACATTTCATATACAACATAAATTGTAATGTATACAGAATGATTGATGCCTCACTTTCAAAAGAAATCTTGTTGAGGTTTTGCCTCAACATTTGTGATCAGATTGTTACCTTGTCATAATACTCTGTCACATTCTTTTACTCTCAGATCATTGTATTAAGTTGAAAATTATTTTTTGACACTTTTATATTCATATTTTTAATTTCTAAATTACTAAGGGTTTCTTTTTGTGTTCAGCAATTTTACTCCTCTGAAATGATGTGTCTGGCACTGTATTTATATACGTATGTAAACACGAATGTGTATGTGTTCTTCTTGGTGGAGCCATTTTATAATGGCTGTTGTAACAACTGTTTTGTTTTGTTTATAATAGAATGGTGATGGAATGATAGACAAGGACAACCTACGAAAATCCTGTTTTCAGCTTAATCTGAATGTAGATGATGAGCTCCTGGATTCCTTATTTGACTGTTGTGATTTGGATAAAGATGGTCTGATTAATTATTTGGAGTTCACAAACTTTCTGAACTGGAAAAACAAAACAGCTGTTAAAGAGTTTGAAGAAAAAATAATTACAAAAGGTAGATGACTTAATACTGGGAAATTGTGGAGATGATCTTGTTCTTATAATAGCTATTGAAAGGACATTGCTGTCACTGACTGAGCGCTCCTTTAGAAGGGTAGGATTTAGAGAGTGCCTACCACTGACAGAACCTCAGATACAAAAAGTTTTTCAGAACCCTGGAGTTTTGTGTTGCATGTTGAGAATGTCACATAAATTAAGAGAAAGTAAAAAATATCTTAGAATCTTTATCAGAAATGCAGATTAATTATGTTACCTACTTTATAGTTTTTCAAGCATTTAAGCAATGATATTTACCTCTTAGTCTATATGTGCTGATAATAAATCTTGGATGTACCATAACTTTTGCTTATAGCGGAAAAAATGGATGCTCTTTTTCTGCCTGAAGACACAAAGATAAATGAGGAGCTGAAGCAGGAAGATCTTGTGTTAAAAGAACTGGGAAGCTCAGAAAAGACTCCAGAAATACTTACAAGACCAACAGATCATGTATTTGCAAATTATCAAACAACTTCTTCTCACTACAATGCTGTAGTAGGTGGTCTCCCAACAACCTGTAAGTACGGTGAATGGTACTTTTCACTTCTGAGCATTATTTAAGACAAAGTCAGCAACAAGTTGAAAAAATATTGCTACGGGTTCTACTAACATACAGTAGTGAATTAATTTATCTAAACTAAGTTTGTTTAGGATTGTGGCTTGGAAGTTACATGACTTGGGTGTTTTACATGGTTGGTTGATTCAAAACATGACGGTTAATCTAGATGTCTTTGAGAAATTAAGCTAGTAACTTTAGAACAATATTGTGTTGGAATTGCCTAAAAATGTTTTCATCTGGAAATTCTGGGTAAGTACTAGAATATTACTGCAAGATTTCTTGCTGTCATGCTTCATGATGTACCTGAAGCTAGAAATGCTAAAAATACAAAAAAAGAGATGAGGAAGAAAATTGTAAGACTTATTGAACCTACATGTGACAAAGTATCAAATTTCTTCTTCTTTCATACAAAATGTTTTTTTTTCTCCTTGGCACTGTCTTTACATACAGGCTTTTCCATGATGCCTGTTGACTGATTTCCACAGGTTGTCCAGTGCGTGGTGTTCCAAGTATTCGTTCAGATCTTCCTGCTCCTCGAATTCGCCGCCTCAGTGACAGAACTAATTATGGTGACGATGCCAGTGCCTATGCATTATTGTTCCCTTCTGTCTTCAGTCAAAAGGGAGTGTATGAAAAGGACTTTTTAAAAACAAGACCAAAGGCAGAGGTATAGTACATTTCTTCAGAATAGTCTGAAGAAGGGGACCTACAAGGATACTGAAGAGGGACTCTTCATCAGGAACTGTAGCAATAGGACAAGGGGAAATGAATTCAACCTTAAACAGGGGAAGGTCAGGATAGATAAAAGGAAAAAGTTCTTTACTGTGAGGGTGGTGAGGCGCTGGCATAGGTTGTCCACATAAGTGGTAAATACTCCATCCCTGGCAGTGTTCAAGGCCAGGCTGGACAGAGCCTTGGGTGACATGGTCTAGTGTGAGGCCCATGGCAGGAGGATCTTAAGGTCATTTCCAGCCCAAACCATTCTATGATTCTATGATTCTTCCAAGATAAAGGTACCTCTAGCCATGTGGGAGTGGAAAGTCATATTATCAAAAAAACAGTTTGTAAAACTCACTGGGGCAACATTACCATGTTTCTTTACGTCGATTCAACTATCTGATAAATATATACTTTTCACATTCAAAATTATCCATAAATGTGATTGATACTAATTTTATTGAGATCCAACTTCAATAAGTAATACAAGGAAGTACGTCAGGTTGTTGCTACTAACATGCTCAAATGCTGTGTCGAATGAGGTAATTAGTCTGGGCTTAAGAGTCTGACAAGAGCAAAGCAGTGTGAAATTTCCATCCTTGCACATATTCAAATTTCTGAGCAAGGTCCTAAGCAACATGGTTTAATGGCAAATGGTAAAGTTAGTCCTGCTTTGATTACGTGGTTGGATGGATTATCTCCAAAGATCTCTTCTAACCTAAGTTATTTTATGATTCTCTGTCTTAAAAAAAACCTGTAAGATTTTTACAGGTATGTAGAACTAGTTTCTATGACAGAAGGATGTTCAGTGGAAAATTTTACCCAAGGTGCCTCTCCTCAAACAAACATGCAGGTTTTGCTAATGGCAAATCAGCAAACTGTTTGAATATATGTTTTAAGTGCTCTGCCGAGTCATGGTCGTAGGCTCAGATCTACAAAGGACTTTTACAGTGGTAGAGGATATAGGGAGTCACACCCCAACACTGTGTCCTCTCATATTTCTGAAAAGAAAGATAGGATGTGGGAACTCTGCAATTTTTCTATCTGATATCTCTGGGCACTACTACCACCCTATTATTTCACAGTCCAAATGCTGTGAACCCCACAAAAATGCTAAAACAACTTTGCTACTTTCTCAGTATTGTTTATTCTTCTACTTTTTTATGCATTTTCTAGTGAAAAAATATTGAGAACTTCATTACCTGAAATACAGTTTATGAGACAATTGTAACCAAATGCGAAATGTCAATCTAAAGTGAGAAAAGCCTTGACAACCTCTCCCTCTCTACTAGTCGTTATATTAAATATTCAGTCGCATTTGAAAGTGGAACTGGAAATTGAGTATGCATTTTACAGAAAAGCATGTTGCTAGTTAGTGGCTGGAGATGTAAAAGGTCTGGTGTCATGTTCTATATGTATCCATAAAATGACTTGTGAGAGTGTTGTATACGTGAGCATTTACCATTTTATAATCTAGCTCTGAAGTAGGAAATCCGTGCATGAAGAATACAGCTAACAGTAAATAGAATTCATGCTTCATTGAGAAGCCCATTATACCTGTCAAACACTCTTCTCTGAAGTTATAATGTTGCCTGAGATGTCATATTTCACTGTAGACTCTATGGGCTACACAGAGTTCGGTACAGAACCACCTGTGAGTGTGTTAGATCACCCTATACTCATGTTTCAGTATTTTAGTGATGGTCTTTATTTTGCTATGTAGTATTAATATATTCAGACATGTAGTAGATAATGAAATTATTATATGATAGCCTAGAGTCATTTTGTTTTGCATTTGTTTCTTAGAAATGAATGCAGATTCTCAGTATAAAAGTTTCATGAGGTGACTCTTTGTGTTACAGAAGAACAAAATAGTTCTAGAGCCTGCTATTTATTTATTTCTTTACTGGAATTCATCCCAGTCTACTGAAGAGAACAGAAGTTACATAACTGAGTGATAGTGTATAATTTATATTCAATAAGATCATGTTAATAGTAGGTAAGGGTCAGTTTAACTCCATCTGTAAGTCTGTGGTGTAGTCAGTGATTATTTTATGGCTGTTGATGAGTCAGGGCAGAGTTGTATTTTAATGGGGTGAAGCCAAGTTATGAAAGCATGTAGTTCTTTATTTCCTTGGAGTGATATCCTCTAATGGAATAGTACTTTTAGTTTAACTTCTAAATTTCACTGGCTTGTTGAAGACATTAGATCAAATCTGGTTTGTTTTCCTCATGAGTAATGTTATTGATTTAACTGAAACAACACCTATGCCTAAGGAAACGAAATTTAGTTCATGTTTTCCTCTCGTAATTTCAGCTGGTATAAACTGTCTTAGATTTATTGGCTAAGCTGAAGCTGTAGATTTGCTGTACTGTGAATCAGGCCTGTATTTATACAGAAAACAGTTTTAGAGAAAGATGAAAACAAGGTTGATTTGACTGTGTTAAAGGTCTTTACCAAAGCATGCATAAAATCTCCAGAGCATTAGTGTAACACACATGCACGCACATGATACAGATGAAGAAGCCAAATGTTTGCTTATACTAACAAAAGTGCAAGTTACAATATTCTTCTAAAGCTGCCTTTCTGTAGTGAGTCAACAGGTCAGCGTGCGAGGCATGCAGCAGGAAGCATCCAAATGAAAAAATACAGGGAAAATAAAAATACTTCTGCTGAGTTGCTTTGGTGTGGAACTACAGCAAGACCTAAAGTTGACGTGAACCGTTTCACTTTAGTCGCTCGACCCACTTCTTTATACCAATTGAAGATCTTGCATATAGTACTCTCGCTGTGAAATACAGAAAGTAATATAGTTTGATCTATGTTGGTAACTATGAGCAGTAAAAATACAATGGATAAAAAGGACTTGACTTACAGCTTTTAAAAAATGTTTATTTTTCCCTGAATCTTCTGTGTTTGATTTTTCCAGTGTTGAAGTTGCATCAACATTACTTTATTAACTAAAGACAATTTTGTGCACCACAGCTTTCATCCCAGTAAGATTCAGATTTCCTTAAATAGGAACTTCTTTGGTTAAGGATGTAGGATATGGTTTGTAGTTTTTATTTAAGAGTGGGAAAATATTCTTTGGCAGGTAGAGATTGCTAATACATGCAAAAGCCAGACTCTATACAGTTGAAAGAAAAATCTGACCAGAATTACACAAATTCTATTATTTTGTAGATTGCAGGAATCCTTCGCAACATTGGCGTGAACATTTCAGATGCAAGGTTTGACGAGATATGGCAGCAAGCCTCTATGAAGCATCAGAAAGAAGAGGTTTGTGTAGAAAGCATCAAGAACGTACTGGATGTGATACATGCATCACATAGAGAAACTAATTGCTAATTCTAGTTTTTGGGCATTGCATTTATTTAAATTGACATCACTTATAATTCTGGTGCTGAGAACAATAAACACTTTCAATAACATGTTTAGAGAACTTGAATTTGTTGTTTATTGTCTTTCTGAACAGTGAGTTCACCCCATGTATATGAATCTTCCTGCTATTGTTGTGGTTATATGGAACTGGTATCCATAAAGAGGATACAGAATATTTTTAAATGGATTGAAAATATTTGTCTTACATCCTTTATTATTTTTTTTTTACAGCATTTTTAAGTCTAAATAATAACATTTTGACTGTGGACACATTTTGCATTTTTTAATTTATTTTTTCTCTTATATACAGAAGGACACTTTTGAAAATACTGAAGATAAATCTTTTGGCTATGCAAGACCTCTTAAATCAGTGATCACAGAATGGCATCTTGCCTTGCTTCTAAGGTTCCATAATTTCTTGTCAATAAAATAGTAGCTAACAGAGACCTGGTTTTGGGAAGTTGGCAGTTTGCATGAGGAAGTGCTTTACAGTAAAGGTACTAAAGAAACATGCATAGTCATGTATGGGATCAAAATTGTCATGAAATATACTCCATAAGAACCCCAATATTAAGAAGAGCTAAAATAAATGCCCAGTTGTGTGGCAGAGGGCTCATATTCTTTATGCAAGATTGTGGCTAGTAGGTAGTAGTAGTCAGCTTTCAGTGGGAATGATTACTTTTAGACTCGAAAAGAAAAATTCTTGCTGAGTTCAGGCTTAACATACAGAATTTAAGGAAGGAGATCACTTTGTCATCTCTTAGTGCTTTAAATACCTTAGTAAGATTTTGAGGCTGCTTCCAGCCAAATGTTTTACTGAGTTCTACAATGTAAGTAAAGATTCTATATATCTTAAATACTAGGAATGTGTGCATAGTGCCAGCTTACAATTTCATTGTAATGCTTAACTCATGATTGTTAAGATTCCTGTTTTGCCAGTGTTTAAGGAGCTTGTAATTTACTAGCTTGTACAAGCCAGACCTTTTGTACATTATTATTGTAGCATTAGTATTAGCTGCCTTATATTAAGTAGAAAGAATTTGCTTTCTCATATCTCCAGGGAGCAGGTGGTAGAAATGCTGCTTGATAAAGGCAGCTTCTTTCCTGCTGTGAATGTAAGTTCTGTGCTATTGCCTTGCCTTTCCATCCTTCTGGAACTGTGCATGCACGGAGAAGCATGCAGGAAGCAGACTGTGACTGTCCCAAGTGAAATCATGATACAAAGATGAATGCACTGTGAATTTCAGTTGAATTTATTATGTCAGTAAAATTCTTTAAAGCTCCTATTCTGCTCATATAGTGTGGGAGGGAAGAATCCTTTACCTTCATTGTGGGGCACTTCAGAAAGCATCGGACAAAATTACTTTAAAAAACCTATATATCATTTTGTCCCTCAATAGAAAATATTAAAGATTTAAGATCACTTCAGGGGAAAAAAATATAAAAATTACCCAGTCCTTGTGTATGTATGTATGTATGTATGTATGAGATGTGTTGTGTTTGTTCAGCAGCTGGAAATTCTGTGTATCCATTTTTTTAATGTACTGTAAAGATACCCATTTTCATTCTTCTTTCAGTAGAATCTTTTCCTTTGTCAGTGAATAGAAATTAATGTTGTTCTTGGGCTGTCTGCTAAATAAGTCCAGAATAAAGAAGACTGATAAATCATGGTTTAGATTTTCGCCAGTATGTTTCTAACCAAAGGCCGAAGGTTTCCTTTGGAGCTTGGGTTTGAAATCAACTGGAAGTGATGTTCACCTAAACTTACCTCTTCTGAAGCTTTAAGGGATTAATCACTGAACAGAGCTACTTGTAGGTGCTTGTTTTTCATCACAGTATACATAGGAGGCCCCTGAAAGATGGAATTGCTGTCACATGGACAGTTACTTCTATAGAGTTTCCCAGTCCTTCTGTTTTCCTTTTGTTAAATGCTTTGTGCAGGTAGAGTCTTGGTGCAGATTTTTGTATTTCATTTCTGTTTGCAATGTGTGTGAATTCAGTGATGTGTTTATAGGCTTTAGAGCTGCAAGTTGTATTTTGTGATTTTTATGGTTCCCTTAATATATTCCAATTGACAGAAAGGAAAAAGTTTGCTTTTTTCTGTCTTGCGGCATGATTGCCTTGATCTAGGTACGGAGTTGATGTGACTAGCACACTATCTTTCACTAACCTGTGGGCTGTATCTGAGGCAAAGTTTTCCAGAAGGGGTGAGCAAAACAGCCATCACTATGACTCAAAACCCATGTGTTCTAAGAGCCAATGTACAAATTTAGGACTTGAAAACAGAATTTATTCTGTTAACAGTTACATTATAAAATCACAGAGACTGTAAATATGTTAACTGAGACTTTGTGGACAAAACTAGTCAACAGCAAATCCTGTCATACTCTATTTTTGTCATAGAAGTTTCATAAATATAGACACTGGATGAAAGACACAGCACATGCAGATATTCATGCACTATTTTCTCCATTAATCTCTGTTTCACAGCAACAATTATTCCAAAGAATAGCGTATTTAATAATTATGCATTTTTAATTGGTTTCGTCAAATGAATTGAACTCCTCTGAAGTTCATCTTAGAGCAGATGTATTTCAAGACAGATTGGGAGGTCTTTCTGTCTACAGAGGTAGAATCTAGTTTTTTCTTCTCCCCTCAGAGCCATGCCAGGGGTACTGCCTTTCAATACTTGAAAACAGCTGTTAAAGATAAGGCTAAAGGTTTGAATACGCAAAATTATTTCTTATTAATTTTCTATTTCTGGCTCTTTATAATGTGAGTATCAGCACTGATAAGCTTTCAGCTTAGTATGACGTATTTGGCACTGAATTGTGCTATGTAGGGCAGATGTTGGACTCAGTTACTCTTACAGTTGTCTAATGGAAAAATTCATCTGGGCAGTGACTTGTGTTTGAGATGCAGGAAGATCCAGCGCACTGTTTTCTATAGAAATATATGTACAAATAAATGTAGACCTTGCCTTCATATTATTATTACATAACTTTAAAATATGTCTTAAAGAGATGAAGTATTTTTTTCAGTAAACAGAATTGCTGGTTTTCAGTGTTTTATCTGACTCAAGTAAATTTCCTGGTTCTGCAGCTCAGAAGTTAATGGCCAGTTCTGTTTGTTTGTTTGTTTTTGTTTTTTAAACAAATGTGTGTAATTATTTGGGCACTAAATATAATGCTAATAACCCTTTATACTAAGAACACTTCAAATGGATGTCTGAGCAGAAAAGGAGGCATTGGGGCAGAGTGCCCAGAAGTATGATTTAAGTCTTCATCATGCCAACAGATATGAATAGGTAGGATATCTTTGGAATGGCTTATCCAGCCTAATTAGTAGGTGTTTGCCATTAGGAGGTATTTCTTTGGAAACCAGTTATTTGCATTTGACAGTTTGTCATTGGGCGCCATCTGCCTGCATGGTTTCACCTTGCTGCGTGGCCAGATTGCTTTTCTGGCAGATGGGTATCAGTTTAGGCTTGCCAAAGAAGCACTAAACGCTGCATGGCTGAGTAGCAGGGATAGGATCTGTATTTCTTTATTCCTTTCTATATTAACTGTGAAAATGCCAACACAGATTATGCAAACCTGTAGGAAATGTTCTGGCATATTTGATGAGGATTAATCTTCAAAGGGAGAGGGGTCAGAACAGTCTTTGCTGTGTTCAGATTTGCTAAGGTAGATGCTTGTTGATTTCTGCCAAATGTGTGTGGCCTCTCTGAGGAGACTGGAGTAGCTAAAGAACTTCTGCAGCCCAGATCCACATTCCTGACTTCCAGATATCATAACCATGGCAAATTTATATTCCCTGGGATACAAGTATGTTCAGCTACTCTAGCAGATTAGGTGGTAAATTCTATACTACTTAAGTAGTAAATATTTAGTTTATTCCGCATGTTTTCAAAGCTCACTTCTCCTTCCAGTGCCTAGATGGAAATGAAAATGGCAAACCTAAGACCTAATCTGAAAAAAAAGAGAAGGGCCTGAATATCACTGACAGATTATTATCTTTAATAATAGGGATCATACATTCTACATCCTGAAAAAATAATCTTGCCTGTGGTGTCTACTTGCTAGATAAGGTTCTACCATGTAATCAGATCAAAAGCAGACGGAGTAGCTTAAGAGCACATACTTCGAGGAAACAGCTTTTCTATAAGACTTGAATCTTTCTGCAGATTCTAGAAAATGTAGAGCATTTCTTTGAATCTGAGGTGCAACAAAGGAGTGAAATAAGAGCAGAAGGGTTCTAAAATGGTACCAGTTAATCAGGGGTTGATTTTGTTTCTCCAGCAGTTTTCAACAGATTACAGAGACATATGCAGTCTCATATGCATACTTCACTATAAATGCGTCCCCACAGTGAGTGGCAAGGCTGAATGTGTAGCAAAATTTAGGGCTATTTTTTGCTAGTGAGCGATGAATGTAAGATAAGAATGTAAAGCGTATCCGTAGAGGGTAGCCCAAAGGTTCTGTCCAGCCCAAGGTCCCATCGACAGTGGTCAAAAACATGATTAGTGGCAGGTAGCAGATTCGGGCAAACATGATGTTCCTTCCTAGCAGTCTCCTAGTGCTTCTACCACTTGAACTTCCAGTGGTTAAAAGGAAGGAAGGACTTTTCTGAATCTTTATATTCAAAGATGTTAAACACATTTCTCTTCATGAATTTGCTCAATCTGGCCTTGAAGCTTTGTGATACTCCAGCCTCTGGAAACATCCTTTGGGAAGGAATTCCACAGCTTTAGTGATACATTGAACAGAAAAACTAGCTCCTATGCTTGTTTTAAACCTTCTTTCTGATGGCTTAATATGATGCAAGATAATTACTCCATTTGAAGAAACAACAAATCGATTTCTAGACACTGTCAGTGATACAGGTACGTATAGACCTTTGTCACAACCCTCCTAAGTTCTGGCCAGGGA